TCATTAGTTTTTTTAATAGAAAGAAAATCTTTTATATGTGTGCTATTTAAATAATAAAGCACTTACACATTTTAGGTCTTCAATGTATAGTCTGTTGCCTTCATCTTTGTAAAGCTCCACATTTCACCATAGCGCTGTGTTGAACAATATATATATTAAAAATATATTGAAAATAATTACATTTAACTATTCAAACATATGTTTGTGTTTAATGCAACTTCAATTTACTGCAACTTCTAATGTTTTCTAGGGGGGATTTGGTTTCGTTTTGTTTAGTTTTTAATTGTGTAACAGAAAACTAAGTAGGGATGAAAAATGTATAATGTCCTGCTTTTTAAAAAAAGGTAAATATTCAGAAAGCCCTCTTTTCATGAACAGTATATATAAACAATACACACCCACACAGGAAAAGCAGTTGTAATATGTTGTCTTATTTTAATGTAAACCTTTGTGAGGAAAGTTATCAACAATTAACCTTTAAAACCCTTGCCGCAGTACAACCCCAAAGGAGCATAGAAGGACCTTATCCAAATCCAGTGTGCTTTCATTATTGTTCCTCCCGGGACCCTGCTTTGCACCAAAGTTATGGTGGTCTGAGGAAAACCAGTTACCAAAGGCAGCTGTCACCATGACAACTAGTGCAGTAGTGACTCTTCCCAAGTATGCACATAAACTGGAGGAAAGGAGTACTTGTGGCACCATTGGTTAGTCTCTAAGGTGCCACAAGTACTCCTTTTCTTTTTGCGAATACAGACTAACACGGCTGTTATACTGATAAACTGGAGGGAGGGAATTATGAGTGGCTGGCTATTTCTGATGTTACTGCTTAGGTAACAGCAGAGGGCAACAAATCATGGGTGCTGTATGGAAAAAATCAGGCTTTTCCAGTGTTCCTGAAAAACCAACACCAACACAAAGTACACATTGGAGATCATTGCATACCCATTAGTGATGAATCTTTGGTTTAAATTCCTTGTGGCATGTTTATATATAAAGGGTTCCAAAAAAAAAAAAAAAAGCGAGACACAGAGATACAGACCCTGTAAAATAGAAAACTCTGATGAAAACTTAACTGTGGCCTTCCTACTGCGAAACCATAATAGAGTTTTGCATCTGTTTTGTGTCTGTTTTGCCCCAACTTCATCCAGATCTATGTGGGCATGTCTACACAGTGACAGAAGACCTGTGGCATAGCTGCAGCTGGCCCAGGTCAGCTGAGTTGGGCTTGTAGGGCTCATGCTGCACAGCTAAAAACCACTGTGTGGATATTGACTTGGGAGCCTGAGTTAGAGGATCTGGCCCAGCTGTGAGTTTTTTATGCCTTGTAGACATACCCGTGAATCCATAAGGTACAACCCAAGCCAAGCCAATACATACCATTTTCCATACTCATAGATTCATAGATTCATAGATATTTAGGCCAGAAGGGACCATTATGATCATCTAGTCTGACCTCCTGCACAATGCAGGCCACAGGATTTCACCCACCACTCCTAAAAAAGACCTCACCCTATATCTGTGCTATTGAAGTCCTCAAATTGTAGTTTGAAGACCTCAAGGAGCAGAGAATCCTCCAGCAAGTGACCCGTGCCCCATGCTACAGAGGAAGGCGAAAAACCTCCAGTCTTAATGTAGCATTTGGGTGTGCTAATTAGGCACAACATTTGAAAATGGGTGTCAATTTATTTCTATGTTTGTTAATACAGTTTTCTTATCTAAAGCTGTACTAAGATGCAGTTTGTAGGAAAAGTTTTATACATAACTAAGTTCTAGATAATTGCTGGAGCAGCCTATTAACTTCCTTCCCTGATGAGAAAGGAAAGGGTGGGGGAGGGGGGGAAGGAGAGTAGCTGAATAGGTTGCAGGGAGAGAGACAGACTGGCTGAGGGATAGATAGGACGGAAGGAAGAGCATGTGGATTTCTGAGAGTGAGAATGAGTGCAGCAGAGTTGCAGAGATGGAAGGGACAGTGGCTGAGTGAGATATGGCAGGTAGGGTGGAAGAGTGAGTGCCTGTATGTATGAGTGGCTGGCAGGGAGATAGAAATAGAGTGGCTATAATATTTTGATGTTTTCTGCCTTACAACAATTTCTGCAGATGCCTTGAAAAATGGACTATGTGTGGTACTACCACTGAAAAGAAAAGACTATGACTGCAGAGCTACATATGCACTCAAAGCCTGCACAACCCTATACTTTTTTTTAATTAAAAAGGGAAACTGGTAGAGCAGCTGTGGTTTTGGAAGAGAGTGGCTGCAGCCTCCATCTGAGAAGGTGAGGCTCTGGACTGCAGGCTGCTGACAACCCAGGTTCTGGTTGTGTTGTGTAAAAGTTATGTAATGTTGAAATAAAACCAAGTATTCAATACAAGCTCTCCTCCAAGCCTAGTGAGAAGAGCAGCACGCCACAGGGTGGATTGCAGGCTGTGAGAGTAACTGGGATGCAGAGAGGGAGAAAAGAAGAGCAAGAAGGCTGGCAGAGGTGTTGCAGCGAGCGAGATAGGGTGGCTGAATGGACTTGTAGGCAGTGTGGATGGGTTGTTGTTCAGAAAGAGAGAGATCATGGCTGTAGTTACACACCAGTTGTCGGGGTTACAGAGTGGGACAGAAACTGTCTGGTTAAGACGTTCCAAGGAAGGCAGGATGAAGGGAAGGAGAGTAGCTGTCAGGAAACAGAAAGCTGGGCTCGTGAAGAAGCCCTTCTGCCAGTGAGCAGAAATTGCGTATGCTCTGGGTTTCCATGGCCACATCTGTAGGGTGTTCTCCAGCATAGGAAACCCAACCCTTTTCAGGTATGTGGCTTCTGACCCTATTTATTTTATTTTTTTTAATAGGCATCAAGTTTAACACAAACAAGGGGAAATACTTTTTCCACACAATAGCATGTTAAACTGTGAAACTCATTGCCATGGGATGGTGATGGCCAAAAGTATAACTGGGTTCAGTGAAGAAAGAGACAAAGGATAGGTCCATCAATGGCCAGAGATGCAACTCCATGCCCAAGGCAACCCTAAACTTCTGACTGTCAGGAAGGGAAGACAGGTGGATCACTCTAACTACCTAGTTCTGTACACTCCCCCTGAAGCTCTGGTACTGGCCACTGTTGGAGACAGGATGCTGGGCTAGATGGACCATTGGTCTGACCCCATATGGCAGCCTATGTTTTTATGTTCTCAAGTTACACACAAATGGCAGGGAAGGGGGCAAACCACAGAATCCGCCGTGCAGCTTCAGGAGCTTCTAGGCTGGCAGGAGGCAATGAACAAAGCCTGCAGGCCCAATGTGCACAATACCCTAAAAGGCAGAACTAGAGTCTAACATGATCAGTCTGCGGGCCATAAAGATCTTCATTGTCCAGAGAAGAGGGCAAAAACAGCAGCCGGCACATTTTCCCACCATTAGCAGTTACCATGTAAGTATGGCCTTCTTTGCATACCCAGCAGAATTTGCTACCCTAGTGGTCCAGCACTGACATGTAAGTACAATATTAATATTTAAATTTATTACATGGTAAAAATGAGAAATTAAGGAATTTATTAATATTTCAGTTGATTAATTTTATTATTACATGGTAAGACTGAGATCCCCATCCCTATTTTTGCAAACACGGCAGGTGGCTCATCCCCTTGGGATAACTGTTACCCCTTCTCCCCATCCCAGATGTTCTCCCTGTGCAGAGATTTTGGCTTCTGCCATGATCTACAGCATCTCATCCCTGGGCTTATCCCAAGCTCCTACTCCTCCTCCCTGATTTTGCTCCTCAGCCCCTCTCCTGCCACTACTTACAGCTGCTTGACCATCTGGCCAGTAAATTTCCACCCCCTTCTCAGACCCTGACCAGTCGCCCCCGATTTGCCACCTTTTAAACCTTGTGAAGAGCAGGCAGCAGTCTGAGTCCAAGGAAGGGCAGAGTGAGGGCAGCAGCATCAGTAGACGTTACTGAGCCTGCTCAGTTTGGGTGAGCCTGCTCAGTACAACCTAGATAGGAAATTCTGCCAGGGAGCTGTATGCCTCCTCCCCTTGATGGAGGGAGGGAAAGGCAACCACTCTGCTTCCCTGGGGAGTCTGAGAATAAATGAGTTTGGTGGAGAGGTGTGCCTCAGATCAGATGAAGGTTGGAGCAATCAGGGGTTGGGGGAGCCTCTGGGTTGAGAGGAGGCAGATGACTGCAGTAACGTGTTTGAAGGAGATAGAGGGGGAGCTGCCATGTTTGAAGAGACTTGGGTGAGGTACTGGGGAGCCACTGGATTTGTTGGGGACTTAGTATTGACAGCCCCAAGTGTTCAAAATCAGGTGACTGACATCCAGATAATAACATTATTAAATAATACACGTTTGGGTTCTTTTGATCTATCTTCTGGTCTTCTAAACTGCCGGGTGCACTTGGGTCACATTTTCAAGCTTCTCTCCCCAACCAGGAGGACCAGAAATTTGATTGTCACATACAAATCCCATCTCTGTTGGCTCCCAAGATCTGTCGGTTTTTTTAGGGGGTGGGAGAGGGGGAAGAGAGAAGGTTGTGAGATACCTTTCCCAACAACCCAGTACCCTTTGTGATGTATAGTGTACCTGTGGGATCACTGGTTCGGGGGTTGAGATATGTATGTGTAGCTGGGCTCTAGGGTTGTGGGCTTGGGAGAGGAAGGGGGCACTGGGCTGAAGCAAATAGAGGGGCCAGCACTATGACTGCATGTCCCAGGAAAGAGCTACAGCCAGAAGGTTCCTGGTAACGTGGGACTTATGGTAACACTAGTCACCTTTGTCTCACTTGAGTGAGAGCTGTAGGCAGCCTAACCCCGCTGCTCGCCCCGTCTGCTCTGCAAGGGGTCCCGACTCCCAGTTCTACTCACTAGCTCCAGCAATGGCTTTGGCCGGGGCCAAGTAGCGTGCCCGGCTAGCTAGCGAGCTCCTGAGCCGGGGGCGGAAGAGGGCGGCTCCCTTTCCTGTGTTATATACAAGAGCCGTCCCCCAGCGCTGCTCCCGGCGGGGCGAAGCAGCAGAGGGTATAGCAAGGAGCGCAGCACCGAGGCTCCCCACCACTGTTTCCGCAAGTCCCTGTGTGACCTTAGCCCCAGACAGGAGGTCGCGCTCGTCAGGGAGCCCCGGGGGAGTGTAGGGGAGAAGCTTGTTCCACTCAGTGGGTCTTGGGGCCGGGGGCCCGCACTCACCTTGCTCTGCCTGCTGAACGCTGGGGACCCTAGTCCCGCTCCGCTCCTTGGGTGTCCGCGGGCTCGTTGTGCTCGCTGGGAGCCGTAGGCGCGGCGCGTTCCCCTCCTTTTGCTGTGAGGACAGGGCGCTCTTGCCACCTCTGCTCGCCGAGCCTCTGAAGGGCAGCGCGGGGAGCTTGCCTCGCTCTGCCTAGAGACTGACCAAGGGTGTTGGCTCGCTCCGCTTGGTGGGACCCCGGGGGCAGGAGCTCTTGGCTCGCGTTGGTCAGTGGGTCCTGCTGCGGGGATGCCCATCTTCCACCTGTTGCCTTGTTCTGAGCTTCTTTGAGGCGCTCGTGCGCGTCTCTTCCCGCCCCGGGTTCTCCCAGCTTGCTCATTGGGGGAAAGCTGCCGGAGTTCCTGAGCTTCCTTTCCGACTCTCCCATCTGGACTCTGACCCGTCTCTCCAGACTCAGGGACGCCAGTAAAGCACCCCAGTACTGCTGGGTGAGGCGCTTACAGCTGTTGTTTGTTGTCCGCAGCTTGTTTGCTCCGGCTGTTCCGATGTTACCCTATTGGGTAACGGGCGCCGCAGCTGGGATTGTCTCCCTGCATCTCATCCAGAAACTCCTCTTCCCCTACTTCTGGCACGACCTTAAATACCTGCTGAAAGTGATAAAATATGGGCTGACCATGGAGATCTACAGGCTGCGAGGGAAGATTTTCACGGTGCTGGACAGGTTTGTGAAACAAGCTGAAAGGCAGCCCCACAAGCCATTCATTGTCTATGAAGGAGATGTTCACACCTACCAGGACGTGGACAGGAGGAGTAACCGGGTAGCTCAGGTCTTCCTGCAACAGGGAGCGCTGAAAAAGGGGGATACCGTGGCCCTGCTGATGAGCAATGAACCTGACTTCATTCATGTGTGGTTTGGAGTGGCCAAGCTGGGCTGTGTGGTGGCTTTCCTCAACTTCAACGTCCGCTCCAGGTCCCTTCTGCATTCTATCCGGAACTGTGAGCCCAAGATACTCATTGTGGGAGCAGGTACAGTATATACTTGTTTTGTATACTCGTGCTTTAACCTCATACGCTGCATTTCTCCCCACCTCCTTTCTTTGGAGACCTGGTTTAGACAGATAATGTAATGTTTGTATTAAAGTAGCACCAAGAGGCTCACAAATCATGAGTGGGTCCCTTTTGTGCGGTAGGCTTATGAGGATATAGTTCCTAACCCAAGCAGCTGACAGTCTTAAAAAGTTTTGTGTTATTTGTGTGGTATAGATGAGATGAGACCGCTACAAACTTACAGTAGACAACTAACATTTAGGAGATGGGATGTAATAACCAGGGGTAGCTCACTTTGTTAGCTTCCAAATTATGGGTGGATTTTTGTTGAGTGTTCAGAGGAGATAGAACTCCTTTTTTGACCTGCATGTATTGTACAATGTAATTAGTGTTTATGAGAGAGGGCCCCAAACCAAAACCACATATCCAAAACCAGAGCTTGATTGGTAAAGAGCTTCAGCATCCAAATCCAGGTGCTAATTTTTGCAAACGGCTCTTTATCTTTATTAAAAAACTAAGCAAAATCTCAGACTGGAACATTTCTGATCTTTGGGGTTGGAGCGTGTGTGTTTCAAAATTTACACTCTAAATATGCAGCTTTGTCCCATCTCTAAAATTATTACCTCTACCTGCACTCTGTGCCTTGTTTCTGGTTTTCTACGTATTGCTGTGCCTTTACTAGGCTGCGAGAGGGATTTTGTACCCTTTTCACCTGATTGGTGGAATTTCCTTCTTCATGCTATCTACAGTGGTGATTTTCTATTTTTAAAAGTAATCCTAAAACTTCCCCCTGATTATTTTTAGTTTCATTGGATGTTTTGTACTACTGTTCGTATGGGTGTTTGAAAAATATGAGTGGAGAAGAGTGTTATTTACGCAAGCTACTGAAATGAGAACCAGCAATGCAAATTCAGCAGGATCACAAAACACATAATGACTACAGTAGGGGGCAGATAGTTTTCCTATCCCATTCAAAAATTTTCCTGTTCCTCATTGTGATGAAACTAAATCTTTTCAAAGTTTTAAGAGTGAGACCCCAGAATAGCCAAAAGCTTGGTGATTACGATGCCCACCTGTGATGAGGGAGACCCTGCAAATGAGGCCAAGTAGGAGCTTGATCTCCCACATTCCAACTGAGGGCTGTAACTACCAGACTTTGACTATTCTAATGTGAGGGCTCTTTCAGTCTCTCTTGTTGGGGCTGTTTCACTTTGTATAAATAACTGAGTGGGGGGCACGGGATGAGACTGACTGCATAGCCTGGTGGAAGACTCTCACCTGGGAGGTGGGAGAAAATGGGTCTGAAAGTTTCAGTTAACAGTTTCTGACCCCCCTCCCCCCCCCGCCAAAAAAAAGTTAGGTTGAAAAATTCCCAACCATCTCTAATAATGACCTATTGAGTTTACATTTTTCTTGTTCCCTGCTTATCTTATTCAATATATATATAAAAATCTCAATGTAATAGTTTAAAACAGTTAATCCTGCTGGATTGATGGTATTTAGTGTTAGAGTGGAAGGAGGAAATTCGCTTCTGTGAAACTTCTGCTCACTTACGAGATCCTGCCACCCTTACCTATATTGAAACTATAAGGACAAAGTGAGTAGTAAGGTACTACTTAAGATGAGTAAGGGCAGTGGAATCTGATCCTTAAAAGAGCCAAATCATGCAGTCCTACCTAGGCTAAATGAGAGTTTTTGACAAAAACTGTAAATTGTATCCCTTACTGCAGGAAGTTGTATGGAAGCAGTAAGTGTTAACAGCATAGATGTAGTACCAGAGTCACCCCAGCTAGCACAGGAAAGTGAACATGAAACTTCCTGGCACCTGTAATGGTAGCTGAACCCTTCCAAGGGTTTAACCGTTGACAGTACATGCAGTATTTCCAGCTCTGGAGTTGGTTGGGGCTTTCCACTGAGAGAGGGTTGCTTTGTCAGTGGCCCCTGACAACTCAGGCTGCTCAGGGGGATGTGCAGAATTGTATCCCCTAGCTGTTCTGATTATGGCTCCTTTTTGACCAGTTTCAGAGGAACAGCCGTGTTAGTCTGTATTCGCAAAAAGAAAAGGAGTACTTGTGGCACCTTAGAGACTAACCAATTTATTTGAGCATGAGCTTTTGTGAGCTACAGCTCACTTCATCAGATGTATACCGTGGAAACTGCAGCAGACTTTATATACACACAGAGAATATGAAACAATACCTCCTCCCACCCCACTGTCCTGCTGGTAATAGCTTATCTAAAGTGATCAACAGGTGGGCCATTTCCAGCACAAATCCAGGTTTTCTCACCCTCCACCCCCCCACACAAATCCACTCTCCTGCTGGTGCTAGCCCATCCAAAGTGACAACTCTTTACATAATCAAGTCGGGCTATTTCCTGCATAGATCCAGGTTTTCTCACATCCCCCCACCCCCATACACACACAAACTCACTCTCCTGCTGGTAATAGCTCATCTAAACTGACCACTCTCCAAGTTTAAATCCAAGTTAAACCAGAACATCTGGGGGGGGGGGGGGTAGGAAAAACAAGAGGAAACAGGCTACCTTGCATAATGACTTAGCCACTCCCAGTCTCTATTTAAGCCTAAATTAATAGTATCCAATTTGCAAATGAATTCCAATTCAGCAGTTTCTCGCTGGAGTCTGGATTTGAAGTTTTTTTGTTTTAAGATAGCGACCTTCATGTCTGTGATTGCGTGACCAGAGAGATTGAAGTGTTCTCCGACTGGTTTATGAATGTTATAATTCTTGACATCTGATTTGTGTCCATTTATTCTTTTACATAGAGACTGTCCAGTTTGACCAATGTACATGGCAGAGGGGCATTGCTGGCACATGATGGCATATATCACATTGGTGGATGTGCAGGTGAACGAGCCTCTGATAGTGTGGCTGATGTTATTAGGCCCTGTGATGGTGTCCCCTGAATAGATATGTGGGCACAATTGGCAACGGGCTTTGTTGCAAGGATAAGTTCCTGGGTTAGTGGTTCTGTTGTGTGGTATGTGGTTGTTGGTGAGTATTTGCTTCAGGTTGCGGGGCTGTCTGTAGGCAAGGACTGGCCTGTCTCCCAAGACTTGTGAGAGTGTTGGGTCATCCTTTAGGATAGGTTGTAGATCCTTAATAATGCATTGGAGGGGTTTTAGTTGGGGGCTGAAGGTGACCGCTAGTGGCGTTCTATTATTTTCTTTGTGAGGCCTGTCCTGTAGTAGGTAACTTCTGGGAACTCTTCTGGCTCTGTCAATCTGTTTCTTTACTTCTGCAGGTGGGTATTGTAGTTGTAAGAAAGCTTGACAGAGATCTTGTAGGTGTTTGTCTCTGTCTGAGGGGTTGGAGCAAATGCGGTTGTATCGCAGAGCTTGGCTGTAGACGATGGATCGTGTGGTGTGGTCAGGGTGAAAGCTGGAGGCATGCAGGTAGGAATAGCGGTCAGTAGGTTTCCGGTATAGGGTGGTGTTTATGTGGCCATTGTTTATTAGCACTGTAGTGTCCAGGAAGTGGATCTCTTGTGTGGACTGGACCAGGCTGAGGTTGGTGGTGGGATGGAAATTGTTGAAATCATGGTGGAATTCCTCAAGGGCTTCTTTTCCATGGGTCCAGATGATGAAGATGTCATCAATATAGCGCAAGTAGAGTAGGGGCTTTAGGGGACGAGAGCTGAGGAAGCGTTGTTCTAAATCGGCCATAAAAATGTTGGCATACTGTGGGGCCATGCGGGTACCCATAGCAGTGCCGCTGATCTGAAGGTATACATTGTCCCCAAATGTGAAATAGTTATGGGTAAGGACAAAGTCACAAAGTTCAGCCACCAGGTTAGCCGTGACATTATCGGGGATAGTGTTCTTGACAGCTTGTAGTCCATCTTTGTGTGGAATGTTGGTGTAGAGGTGATAGAGCCAGAAGAGTTCCCAGAAGTTACCTACTACAGGACAGGCCTCACAAAGAAAATAATAGAACGCCACTAGCGGTCACCTTCAGCCCCCAACTAAAACCCCTCCAACGCATTATTAAGGATCTACAACCTATCCTAAAGGATGACCCAACACTCTCACAAGTCTTGGGAGACAGGCCAGTCCTTGCCTACAGACAGCCCCGCAACCTGAAGCAAATACTCACCAACAACCACATACCACACAACAGAACCACTAACCCAGGAACTTATCCTTGCAACAAAGCCCGTTGCCAATTGTGCCCACATATCTATTCAGGGGACACCATCACAGGGCCTAATAACATCAGCCACACTATCAGAGGCTCGTTCACCTGCACATCCACCAATGTGATATATGCCATCATGTGCCAGCAATGCCTCTCTGCCATGTACATTGGTCAAACTGGACAGTCTCTACGTAAAAGAATAAATGGACACAAATCAGATGTCAAGAATTATAACATTCATAAACCAGTCGGAGAACACTTCAATCTCTCTGGTCACGCAATCACAGACATGAAGGTCGCTATCTTAAAACAAAAAAACTTCAAATCCAGACTCCAGCGAGAAACTGCTGAATTGGAATTCATTTGCAAATTGGATACTATTAATTTAGGCTTAAATAGAGACTGGGAGTGGCTAAGTCATTATGCAAGGTAGCCTGTTTCCTCTTGTTTTTTCCTACCCCCCCCCCCCCCCAGATGTTCTGGTTTAACTTGGATTTAAACTTGGAGAGTGGTCAGTTTAGATGAGCTATTACCAGCAGGAGAGTGAGTTTGTGTGTGTATGGGGGTGGGGGGGATGTGAGAAAACCTGGATCTATGCAGGAAATAGCCCGACTTGATTATGTAAAGAGTTGTCACTTTGGATGGGCTAGCACCAGCAGGAGAGTGAATTTGTGTGGGGGGGTGGAGGGTGAGAAAACCTGGCTTTGTGCTGGAAATGGCCCACCTGTTGATCACTTTAGATAAGCTATTACCAGCAGGACAGTGGGGTGGGAGGAGGTATTGTTTCATATTCTCTGTGTGTATATAAAGTCTGCTGCAGTTTCCACGGTATACATCTGATGAAGTGAGCTGTAGCTCACGAAAGCTCATGCTCAAATAAATTGGTTAGTCTCTAAGGTGCCACAAGTACTCCTTTTCTTTTTGACCAGTGTTTCCCACTTTTTTTTTCCCCTAGCTTCACTGACTGCCTAGGAGCCTCCTGGCAGAGGGGAAATTTCTGTTGCTTTCTGCCACTGCTGTGTGCCCTTGTGGAAGTTTTGTCGCTATGGCTCCTGAACCCTGGTTTATGCTGGCAGAAGTCAAGATAAACTAGGAATGAATTTAGATCATAGTCTATGAATGCCCTGGAGAAGGGGAATGAGTGAGATTTTCAGGAGCTTGTGAATTCAGAACAGCTACTATGACATACAAGCAGCAGAATCCTTAATCAGCTTTTAAAGGGGAAATTGTTTTCTTGATAAAATAAATGTGAATTATTATCTAATACCTAACTTGATTATTTAAACTAAATGATAAAAATAAGAATTATGAGACATCCAGAGCAGCACGGAGTTAAAGACATGCAGTGTGGACTCTTACGGACTGTTCCAAGATGGGATTTGGCTCTCCATTTTGCTTGCTTGCTTTTCCCTTTCCTGGAAACTCACTGGATCCCCTACCTGAGTCAGTGCCTCCTTCAGATATATCCCAGTGTTTGATCAGTAATATATGCTAAGTATTTGTAGTTCCTGTACACATTCTAGAATCTTTTGCATGGTCTTCAGTGGCATTTCAAGGGAGGCATGGCAGCCAACATAGATTCTTAGCTACATCTGATGACCCCTACAAGCTTTTGCCATAGGTTCTGGAACCATTTTTATAGTGGGGGAGCTGAAAGCCACTGGAACCAAATCCTGTGTATAATGGAAATCACTTCAAACCAAGGGTGCTGCTATACCTCCAGCACCCCTAGTTCCAGCACCTATGGCTTTTGCTGAACACAATTTAGCAGGAACAGAGAGCCTTTTTGACAGGGAACTAAGTATATGGAGGGAATGCATCTAAAAATGGGGAGTTTGGGACTGGCCTTTTATTGTTCAAAGGATCATTGGTGGCTACCTGGATTGTCACAGCTTATTTAGCATATGCATCAGAGTGCCCTTCAAATATTTTGTCAGCAATATTTCATAAAACTTTTTGAATGAACTGACTAAGATTTTGCTCAGTACACGTTGATCTCATAATCTGATTTCTGTCAGTTATTACTGTGGGTTCATATTTGCCTGCCAATAAATAATTGCATTATTTCCTTGCTCAGAAAAATAGAGAGAACCTTTTTGTATGACTAGCAATGCAGGATGGTAGTTTAGAACCAAAAGGTGTATTGTCTATTATTCGAATGTCACAATTAACAATTATTTATGTATTCAGGTTGTTTGCATCATGTCACAAACCTGCTCAATTGTTCGTAGGGAAGCAGGAGAAGGAAAAGGGCGTGGGGGAGATCTCCACCTTCAATAACGCATGAATTTTCCCAGGGAAGCCATGTAGTTAATGTATGTTTGTTCAGAATGTATTGTGTAAACAACACACAGGACTGCTATTTACTCTATTATAGTTAAAGATTAGGTATAATAATAACTCATTGCAAAACAAACCCTAAAAGTTTCTTAGTATGTTACTAAGAAAAATAGAGAGAGCTTAAGTTCACAACCTGTGATTTGCTTTACCATCTGCTTATGTACATGTACCAGGAACCACCAGAAATGCTGTATTGCATTTCTTCCAAGAGAGCTGTTTATTCCGGACATATGGGTAATACAAGTGTAAAATGAGCATCAGGTTTTTAAAAAACATCTGGTGGAGAAATTCAGTGTGCATTAAACAATACATCAACATTGGACATAGTCTTGGATCTTTTTACATTGGTATAAGTGCTCTTTGGAAATATATTAGTACAACGGAGAGTTTATCTTCAGCTCACATTGTTCATGCATGATGCAGAATTAATCTAAGGCTTCCGGCTCTTTTAATATTAGGAAAATATTTAGCTATTTCTGATTGCCTTTTTTTCCTTCAGGAAATTGCTTATGGTTTTTTTGCTGTGCTCTCCTATCTAACCTGGAATCTCTTTCAAGATAACAAATGGCTACAAACAGTTCAGATACTGTTCCAAATTTTTAATACCAGAGTGCAACTGAAAAGTCTTTTGTAGAACCAACTCACAGTATTAATATTCAATACTAGGTGAAAAAAACAAACCCGTACACAGAAACAGAAACTTTAGGTTAACTGAGTAATTTTAGAAGTGGAAACAGTAAATCAAGGATATTTTCAGTCTGGGCTTGATCTTAATTAATTGGAATAACATAAAGAAGATGTGCTTCAGTCTAGGAAGTGGGAACCACTGCCTTTCTGCCATTCTTGAATCCTAAATGACAGTTTAAATTGGACTGTAACTATGATATTTTTCCCCTTAGAAAGGATTGCCTGATTAGACCATAGGGTAGTCTTATGACCACAGCCCCCTTCTTGCTTGACTTGTCTGCAGTTTAAATATAATTGACATTTCTCAAATACATTAAGAACTCAGTGTAAATTTATTTCTAAGACTACTGCACTGAAAAATAAAAAATCAGAATTATACCTGAAATTCTGAATGACCATAAAATCAGTGACCAATTTCTTAGTGTTCTTTATGCTCAGTAAGAACATAAGAATGGCCATACTGGGTCAGACCAAAGGTCTATCCAGCCCAGTATTCTGTCTACCGACAGTGACCAATGCCAGGTGCCCCAGAAGGAGTGAACCTAACAGGTAATGATCTAGTGATCTCTCTCCTCCCATCCATCTCCACCCTCTGACAAACAGAGGCTAGGGACAGCATTCCTTGCTCATCCTGGCTAATAGCCATTAATGGACTTAACCTCCATGAATTTATCCAGTTCTCTTTTAAACCCTGTTATAGTCCTAGCCTTCCCAACTTCCTCGGGCAAGGAGTTCCACAGGTTGACTGTGCGCTGAGTGAAGAAGAGCTTCCTTTTATTTTTTTTTAAACCTGCTACCCATTAATTTCATTTGGTGGCCCCTAGTTCATATATTGTGGGAACAAGTAAATAACTTTACCTTATTCACTTTCTCCACACCACTCATGATTTTATATACTTCTGTCACATCCCCCCCTTAGTCTCCTCTTTTCCAAGGTGAAAAGTCCTAGCCTCTTTAATCTCCCCTCATATGGGACCCGTTCCAAACCCCTAATCATTATAGTTGCCCTTTTCTGAACCTTTTCTAATGCCAGTATATCTTTTTTTGAGATGAGTATTGTATGCAGTATTCACGATGTGGGTGTACCATGGATTTATATAAGGGCAATAAGATATTCTCCGTCTTATTCTCTATCCCTTTTTTAATGATTCCTAACATCCGGTTCGCTTTTTTTGACTGCCGCTGCACCCTGCGTGGATGTCTTCAGAGAGCTATCCACGATGATGCCAAGATCTTTCTCCTGATTAGTTGTAGCTAAATTAGTAGTCATAAACACAGGAAAAATAGTTTTCTGTAAATAAGCCAATGCTGCTTTGGCACCAATTCCATAAAATTGCAAACATTTCTGGGGATGAGAAACACAAGAGACAATAAATCATGGTAGTGGCTCATTTTTTACTTGTAGTCTGTGTATGTTTGGAGAATGGTGACATCTGTTGCTGCTTTCTGCCATGCCATTTGCAAGGGGATAATTTTGGATTAAGCAGACCACTAGAAACACTGCAGTTGTGTCACTAGTGTAGACACTTACTTCAGCGACGGAAGGGGTTCTCTGCTCTCCGAGGCAGTAGCTAAGTCAATAGAAGATTCTTTGACAGATCTCGCTATGTCTATACCAGAGCTTAGGTCTACATAAGTACATTGCACAGGGCATGAAATTTTTCAGTCTTGAGCAATATAGTTAAGCTGGCCTAGCTTTGCAACGTAGACCAGCCCAAGTATCCATAACTAAACTGCAATGCATGAAGGCAGATTACCTTGCCAGATGAAATCTGGAGAGAAACATGAACTGCACTTCTCATCTGAAACTTGACTGTAAACTACCCAAGACTGGGTGTGGCCAAGAGATGGTAGTCATTGCTAGTGGGTTTTCATGGAGTGCTGGCTAAAATTTAAAGCATGGGAGTGACAGCAACTGTATGTACCATTGTTTGTCCTTTTCTACATGAAGTCCACCCGACCCACAGGGCACCAGCACTGATTATATTCCCTTACTCTCACAGAGGTGAATCGGGCTCCTTGTATTTTGCTAACATAACTCTAAAACATTGAAAAACTTGCTTTAAGTTTAGCTTTCTGTAAATACATTATAAAATAGGTAACAATGTTGTTGTTGTTTTTTAAGATATGCTTGGGACATTAGAGGAGATTCTTCCTAGCCTCCAAAAAGATATTGGTGTTTGGGTAATGACCAAAGACTGCACTCTGCCCAGTGTTAATCCCCTTTTAGACAAGCTGGAAACTGCATCTGAAGACTGTGTGCCAGTTAACCTCCGCTCTGCAAGCAACCTCAAATCCTCTGTACTCTACATTTTTACTTCAGGGACTACAGGTACAGCTCTTTTTCCCCATGTTTCCGTCATTTCCTGAAACTGTTTATGAAACCATCAGTTAATGTGTCTGTGTCAGACACTCTAAATGTCTCACTTCAGCCCACAGGAGAAGGTATCAGAAGCTCAAGAAAGGCATTGGTCGTTTCCAAGGCTGTTGGCAGAGGGGATCCCGCAGAGGTAGCACCTTTTTCCCTGCCCAGCCGAATTGCTTAAATCCTGGGGCAGGGCATTATGCCCTTTTATTAAATAGCTACTATTACTGGTGCCTGCTAGTCAACACTGCAAACATAATACTAATATTTTGTGATTCTGTAACACCGCTGTAGAGCTAATGTGTACACCTAGAACTTTACAACATCCTTTTAGAACAAGTTACTATGCACTTATTATGAAGTGGGTCTTCATTAAGCTGCTTTGAATGCAGGTCACCAAAGAGACCGAAAATAGGATTAAGTTACTAGCCTTTTAGTTTAGAAACAGATGGCTGGTTTCATTACCATTGCTCCAGTGGCTAAGAAGTTAAGACTTTTAAAAAAAAACCTCTGATCAGTGGCATAAAAAGCAGCATCATGATGTTAAACAGATTGGTGTTTCTTATTCAACTGAAAACTAACTTGTGGTTTCAGTCATGAGATGTTTTAAAAATAACTTGCATCTTACAACTTGTTTCCCCTGCCCAAGCATAATTATTTTATTGATTTTTATTTGCCTCCATGGAACCATACGTTAGTTTATTTTAGAACTAAATTCTGTTTGTTTTTAAAGAAATTAAAAAAACCAGAACTGTTGCAAACATTATTCAGAGATTAACTATGTTTGAAATAGCGATGAAAAAATATAGCAGAGCTTGCTACTGTGGATAGAAATTTTGTTCTGAATACTCTTAGTTAAATCATGTTATAGACTTCCCTAGGTAGTCTGTAACCTAGTTCTCACAGTGTCGCTTAAGGCCTCCATATGAAGCTGAGGTGGAAAGATGCAATGCCCAGAATTAATCTAATATAGTTTAGTTACTTACAGAGGTAAGAAAATTTGAGTGATTGTATGTAGCCTATGCACACTGAAACTTTTATCTCTTTTAAGTACAGTGTGATTGCAAGAAGAGCAATTATTTAGCATGAATAAAAGTTTAGAGGGAATTGAATCATTATGTTTAAAATCATGTCTTGTGCAATCTGATTCATCTAGTACAAACAAATCTAGCCATCCTTTTCATGCTTTCCTATAATACAAGAACACATGATTGCTGATTATAATTAATAGTCTAGATTTTCTGGCCAAGTTAAAAGGAAATAAAATGTTGTGCAGCTTTTAAACATCTTTTGGAATCTAGAGTCAGGGGAAATCAAAAGCAAAAAATCTGTGGATGGATTTTTCAAAGTGTTAGATTATTTTGTTCAATAAAATTTGTGATTATGCATGTTAAAGTAAGAGTGAAGGCTGATTCCTAAAGGAAGGAATCTTTCCTTCACATAAAGCACTGCACAGTGAGCTATTGGTAGGTACAGTATGGTGGGCAGGTTTGTGTGCCTCTGGAATGTCAAGTAGAGGCCACAGTCAGAGCCAGACAGGAGGAAATACTCAATGAACCATTGATCTGATCAGTATGGAACGTCTTTTTTTGTCCTGCGGGTGTATAATTAATCGATCATCCTTGGAAACGATATGTACTTGTGAGTGGCTCTCACCCCAAATACAGCTGTATAAACGTGCTCAGATTACTTAATATAAACTCCTAATTGGTTTTTAATTTTGTATATTTAAGATCAATTTTGCAGTCTTTGCTTGTCTTTCTGAGTTTGGAGCACCATCAGCTGTCGCTGTTTAATGTGAGAACAGCATTCATCCAGGAGCACAAGAAAGAGAAAAAAGTTCTTTTAGAACTCTTTTTCAGAAGGCAAATATCTTACTGCTTCCCACATCTTCTAAGGAGCTAGCTTTTGGGATTGGGGGTGTCAAGCAGAGGCAGGGAAGCCCTTGAATCTTACTGGAGAGAGATGCCATGAAATCAGTGTCAGGTGATGATAGTAAAGAATCCTAGAAAGAGCTAATTTCTTCTAACACTGAACAAGGATTAGAAATAAGGAAAATGATGTTGGTTTATAAAGCTTCTGCTTCAGCTTCACTGTAGTGCTTGTGTCTAGAACTTCCCCAGTCTGCCTCCGAGCAGGATCCCTCGTACAGTTTCAAAGAAACACTACATGTCCACACATAAATTGCTGTGTGTGAAAAACCAAAATGAAATGGAGCAAAGGCATGACAGCTGTGATTTCGTAGATTTCCACCATAACGTCAACCATCCATCCATGAAACTCTCTCTAGAGTACTACCACACCAGCATCAAATTCCTGGACACCACTATCAGCTTCAGCAATGAAACCCTACAGACAACTATACATAGGAAACCCATCGATCGCCACACTTATCTTCACACATGTAGTGACCATCCCCAAACACACCAAGAAATCTTATCTACCAGGCACTCGGATATCATAGAATGTGCACTGAGGACAGAGTCCAGGTACAAACCTTAACACACTTAAAATCACCTTCACCACACAAGGAAACTCCATCAGAAAAGTAGATCACATGATGGAATGGGCTACCGAAATAATCTGACAGAACCTGCTTTAATATGGGGAGGGGAAACAAACCTCCCACTGTACAACCCTAGTCACCTAATACCCTGCACTAAAACCCACACAGGGAATCATGAAACTTGCACCCCAGACTTGATGGGGACCACATCCTCAAATAAATCTTTCCCAGACTCCCTCTTCTGGCCTTCAAAGAGCCCCCTAGCCTCGCCAAGCTTGTCATCAGGAGCGAGCGAGCTCCCCATACACTAGGACATACCAGCTCAAAGCAGTACCATCCCCCACTATAACACCAGATGTGAAACCTGCAGATATGTCTTCACTGTTATGATGATCAGTACCCCCCACAACACACCTTTCAAGCAGTGGCATAGCCAGGTGGAGAAAACAGGGGGAGCGTAGATTAAAAAAGGTGCCACCCGCTAGTACTCCCCCAGCAGCGCTGAAGGACCACCCCCACCACTGGAGCGAGTGAAGTACTGCTGAAGACCCAGAGCACCGCCGGGAGAGTAAAAATTAAAAAGGCGCCAAAGAATTAAAAAGACTCTACTTCCGCTTGGTGGGGGAGCGGCCGCTGCCCCGCTCCCCGCCTAGCTATGCAACTGCTCTCAAGATCCATGGTTTCTACCCATGCCTATCATACCAATGTGGTGAACCTTATCCAGTGCACCAACTGCCCTAATAACTACGTGGGGAAAAACCGGACAATCACTACGCTCTCAAAGGAACTCGCATAGAAAAATGATAAAAGACAAAAACTTGGATGAACACTATTCACAAAATGATCACTGCATATCTGACCTCTGAATCCTCGTCCTCTAAGGAAAGGGAACTTAAATTCATAACTCTGCTAGACACCAAAAATCATGGACTTAATAAAGACACTGGATCTGTTCTACCCTTGTATTTAGCTTGACACTCTGGGCATGTCTACACTTAAAACGCTGCATTGACGCCACTGTAGTGCTTTAATGAAGATGCTCTTAGTCAATGAAAGAGAACTCTCCTCTTCAGCTTTGTTAATCCACTTCCCTGAGAGGCAGTAGCTATGTTGATGGGAGAAGTTTTCCCACTGACCTAGTGCTGTCTACACAGGGGGCTAGGTTGGTGTAACTACATCACTCAGGGGTGTGGATTTTTCACACTGCTGAGCAACATAGTTATATGGATATAGGACCCGAACTCTGGTTACCTCTCCCAGACCTGAAGCAGAGCTCTGCGTAAGCTTGAAAACTTGTCTCTGTCACCAGAAGTTGGTCCAATAAAAGATATATTACTTCACCTACCTTGTCTATTTTAACTATACATCAGGCCTGGAGCTCCTTCATATTGCTTCACATCCTGGTCCATCTGTTGTTGAATCAGATGACCCAGTGTGCAGTGAGTTGATGCAGCTATGACTTGCTTGCATACCCCTTACTTCTATAGGACCAACAGACCTAGTGCCACATTAAACTTGCAAACAAGTTCTTAGATGTCTGTTTAGCTAAGTGGCTAGCAGAAAAATTGGCTCTAGAATATAGAAAGATAGGTAATATTAGTGTTGTTGAAGTTCGTAACAGACTGGATACTCGTGTACTCAACAAAAGTGAATGTTGACCTCTCTGTAATGTATAGTTTTATGTCTTTACAGGTCTACCAAAAGCTGCAGTTATTAGTCATCTGCAGATCCTAAAAGGAGCTGCTGGATTATGGGCATTTGGTGCTACTGCAGATGACACTGTTTATATAACTCTCCCTCTTTACCACAGTGCAGCTTCTGTCCTTGGCATTGCTGGATGTATTAAATTGGGTAGGCTCACTTTATTTTATAGCGTTGTTGATTGAAGAGGGGATTAATTTAGAACTGCATTAAAACACAGTGCAGAATCGTTGTTATCAGTGGAGTTAATTAGACTTGGCTTGTATCTTCCTTTCTAAATCAAAAAACAAATGAATCTGGAAATAATTGTAACCAGTTTTGTGATTCCATTGACTAGGTTTTTTTTTGTTTGTTTGTTTTTTTTTAAGAAACTGCAGTAAGGTCCATATTATCCACTTTTATTTTAGAAAATTAAGTAAAATTCTGTTCATCCACGTTTTTGTTTTTGGCATTAGGGTAACAGGCCCTTAAATGAAATTGGCCTCAGAACCCCTGTTGCAGTCCAGGTGTGCCTGTGTTGGTGTAATGAGGCGGGTGGGGCTGCCCTGGGAGTTAAAAATGAGACTTCAGAGGCTTGAGAAGGGAATTCAGAACTCAAACCCTGAGGGGAAGCTTAGAAGGAGAGTTCAGAACCCAGAATTTAAAAGGGGAGAGTGTCTAGAGTCCTGAGAGTAAAGAGCTCAGAGGAAGGACAGGGCTGGGCTGAGAGCTTCAGCAAGGAGATGCCCGTGAAGGATGAAATGGTGTGAGTTCCCGGTTTAGGCAGTGAACCCAGAATAATAGGCTGGTGAAGGCAGTTGGGGTCACCTGCAAACTTCTCCAGGCTAGAGAGCCATAACCAGGGAGGGCTGAAGGCTGCGAGCAGTAGAGGGAGGTGCTGAGCCAGACAGCTGAAGACAGAGGACTAGAGAGGGCTGAAGGCTGGGGAACAAGGGAGCGGCAACCTTGCCGATATCTCCAGGCAAGAGCCGGAACCCTATCCGGGAAGAAAATAGGGTAGATAAACATCTGAGGTGAGGCGAGGTGTGGGGTGAGATGCCAGAGTTGTACCTGGGAGCTGGGCTGAAGCACGATGAGGGATGTCTGAGCCACACTTAGTGTTGGACTGTTGGACCTAATCTGCTGTTTGGACTGCACTGAGGGATTCTGGTTTATGGTAGTGGGACTTTTGGTAATAAAATAATGCCCCTTGCCCTCTCCCCACAGGGCTATTTATACATTTCAAAGGCTGTATTGAGTTTATTTGAGGAATCAAGAGGGGAAAGTGAGGCAATGGGCCACTTGCAGGGCTTCCTTGGGGCCAAGAGGAGACCACACATTTATAGGATAACAACCCTAAACACAAGCTGTTCTTTTTAAAGTCTTAAACTTGCTATAGGCTTACAGTTAAGCAGACCCATAACTTTGTAGAATTGGACTATTCTCATGTGTAAAGTTATGCACGTGTTTAACTGTCTGCAGGCTGTGTAAACACACCAGCATAAATATTGCTGGAGCTCTGTGACTCCCCCACTGTCACATTTCACTGTAATGGACAAGGTCTGTGAATTTAGACCTGTCCGTAAAACAAACACATGAGAATGTCTTTTGTATTTGAATCAAAGTTCTTACCTTTACATGACTCTGTGGTACCTGAAGCAGCATTCTTGTCAAGTTCACAAAACCAGTGTTTCCTGTTTTTATTTTCTTAATAAGGTGCAACTTGCGTCTTAAGAAAGAAATTCTCAGCTAGTCAATTCTGGAGTGACTGCAAAAAGTATAATGTGACTGTTATCCAGTATATTGGAGAGCTTTGTCGTTATCTTTGCAACCAGCCTGTGGTAAGTGGAATTAAAATGATGGTTATCCTACCATTTGGTTATTCACTAAACTTTATTTGCATGCTAGCAGTTGTAGCTGTATTTACATTAAAAGGGAAATATGAAAAGTAATTTTAAAAGAAAAAAATCTGTCCCCTCCACCCCTCTTTCTGTGCAAGGTTGCTGCTGCGTCTGTGACTGCCAATAGATTGGTTCTGGGCAAACTGAACTGGCACCAAGGAGTTGATACCATATTTAAAGATGTAGGGGAAAAAATTGAATCAGTTTTATTTTATTTGGAAAAGAAAATATTCATGCTCAAACTTTAGCCAAGGGTAAGTCTAGAGTACCTACGTTAACATTAATGCATTTTCAAAATCTTGGTTCTTGTGATCAACTTAAATAGACACTGTCAAGTTTTGTAGGCCTACTTTTGGCCCTACTAGCTTTATTTTGGCTTGTGGAACATGCATGCACATAGGCCATCCCTCTGCTCTGTTCTTGAAGGTTTTATAGGGGTCAATACAGTTCAAAGGATCAAGAGAGAAAATTGTTTCAAGTTCCTATTAGTTTGCCCTTTAGAATTTTCAGCCTTAACTGTGCAGACCAATGTGTCTACCCCTTCTAGAAGTACACATGGAGGGAAGAGGGAGCCTTTCCCTCTTCCTGTCCTTATGTCACACTTGGGCAAAATGGGAGTTCCTGATTTCTGTGGCTGCAAAGTCCCTAGGGGGAGGTGTCCCCATCTGCACTAACTTCCACAAAGGGGAAGAACCATGAATTGGCTAGCAGAGTGAACACACTGCTCCCAGGTCTGGAAGGCCTCATATCTGACCTCCAACTGGGCAGACTAGTGACTATCCACAATCCAGCCGTGTATCTTTAGCATGTTGGTCACTAACCAAAACTTCCAGCTATGTAGAAACCGAAAAACTTAGCATAATTAAGTCCTCAGCAGTGTCTTAGGTATAAGGAATATATAGATATTCTGTCCAAAAAATCAAGTACACTTGACATAATATAGGAAACAATTTGTTTCCATCCACTAGAGCTATTAGGTTTGCACTCTGTGTACATAAGTCTTATTAGCTCTCATAAATTACATACGTAGGTTAAAAGCTGATATAGCATTTTAGTTGGAAGCTGCATTCAGTGGTGGTATTAAAACCGGGGCATTAAATTATGCATGTCTTAAAAGAACTTTCTGATTTGCTTAAACAGAGAGCAAAATAAGGAAGATTCGAATATTTAAAATAAAAATGCATGTTCGAGTCAGGGATTTTGACTGAGATGTACACACAAGTGCATGTGTACTCCTGAAAATATGGGCCTGATTCTTTAATTCAGTGTGTAAAAAGCAATTTGAGCAAAATTGAAAAGTTTTGCTACATTAGGGAAGTTGGGTAAACTCTGGTGTCAGTGGTCACAAGCATTTAGTGGGATTGCACTGGTTGTAAAGTAGCCCAGAATCTGACCCTTTACATTAAAGAACGGAACCTATGTTTTAGGTTTTTATAAAATTGTATCTAGCATATGACATAGTAAAGAGTTCTGTAAATACACCTCTATATAATAGATCTGGCTTCATTATTTGATGTATGGATAATAAAGTTGGGGATGGATTCTTCCTTACTTGTACCTGTAAAGTGCTATCCAAGCACAACCGCAGTATTTTATATCCTTTTTCCACAGGTGTAAATGAATATATAAGGTGCCTGGCAATGGAGAATCAGACACTTAAGGCTCTTCTGTATTCAGAATAATTTGTATAAATTAATTCTTCTTAAGTCCTTCAGGGTAGGTCTAGACTGTGTTTGGGAGCAACCCACAGATGTGTTTTATTGGGGTTAAAAATAGCTGTGTAAAGATGGTGTTTTGATGATGTGGCTTGGGCTCACAAGCCACACCTCCCAGGCTTGAGACCCTGAGCTTCAGTCCAAACTGGAACGCCTACACAGCTGCTATTTTTAGCCTGCAGGCATGAACCCTGCCAACTCAAGTCTGTGGACTTGGGTTGGGAGGCTCACTCAGATGCACTGTAGACATATCCTTGTAGTGTGGAGACCAGGTGCTTAGATTGTGGTACAGAAATAGCATACCTGTGGCATGTGGATCTGTCACATTTTATCTTGAGAGCAAATAAGTGAAAGTGTCTCACAGCTAAGACTTTATCATGACTCCATGTCTGTGGATTTGGATTTTTTTTCTTTAGACATACAAACTTTCTTTGACTAGAGCAGCTATCTAACTAGTGTCAAACTATCACTTCTGCCTGAATCAGTCTACTTTAGTCCTAACTTTAGGATGCTTGTTTTGATACAGTATCACTGTCTAAGGCCCCATCTGCAGTGGACTAAGAACAAAGTTTGCAGAACTAATTATAAACACCATTTATAACTGGTTCAGATTAATTGAATTTAATCATAGTTTGACTGGACAGGGAAAAACAGAGTGAATCTAGGCTATAAAATAATTTCTAAAATCAATTTATAACATTACTTGGTTTCTGTCCTTAACTATGCAGGGAAACTGTGTGTCAAACTGAGTTTAAAATAAATATAACCATCCTAGTTCTTGGTCTTTGTAGATGGAGCCGAAAATTGTTTCTGCTGATATTGACGACTGCCACCTTTATGCTTGTTGTGAGCTGCAGATAATCCTATTGTGACAGTTGTTAATAACTCCTAAGGACCAAAACATACACAATTTTAAGTTGAGTTTTTTGTTTTGTTTTTAAAATGACCATTGTTTACCATAGTGGTGGCTTGTTACCATGAACAGTTTTTATTTATTAAGTGTTTCAGTATTCAGTTATCTAAATAGATAAATACTCTCTTTTCTTAATGGAACAAAGACACTTGCAATTAGTGGTTTTGCTTTATTTAACAGGACTTTCAAAACAACCCAGGGGAGTTTGGCAGCCAACGCCCAGGAAAATGTAGCGGGAGCTGAATGCATGACTGCCTTCTGTGCCTTTGAAAATCTCCTCCTTGCATGCAATAATTATTTTAAATTGTTCTCGGGACTCCAAAAATATATACAATTAGTAAATTTCCCTGTCATTTTGTGGATTTTGTTTAGCAACTTAGATTTTAAGAAAATATGGTGAGATATTTATTAATAGTAATACCTCCAAATTAACATGAAAACTCCTTTCTAATCCAATCCTCTGTCAGTGCTCTTTCAAAATAATCAGCACTGACTTCAACAGTGGGTTCTGTTAACAGGAGATGAATGTGAGCCAAGATTATTTTTCAGCACTATTAACAATTTACTTTTAGAGCCCAATCCAGTGACCACTGAAGTTACTGGAAAGATTCTCATTAACTTCAATGGACATTGGATCAGACATTTTAGTTTTCACGTAGCTTTGCTACAATCCCTAGCAAAGGCTATAGTAACTCAAAATAGTAACCTTTGGGGGTCTAATGTAACCTCTGAATAGTGCAGGAGTGTTGGCCTATAAATTGACTCTGTTTCACTTCTAATGAAGACATTTAAGTCACGGCAGTCAAAATCTGAAGAAATGTCTACACTGTGTTTGAAAACCCATGGTAGCAAGTCTGAGAGTCTGGGTCTATGGACTCAGGTTGGTGCCAAAAACAACTGTGCAGACATTCAGGCTTGGGCTCTAAAGCCCAGGGAGGGGGCTGGTCTTCAGAGCTCAAGCTCCAGCCTGAGCCATAATGTCTACACTGCTGTTTTTAGCACCTATAGACCGGGGCTCTGACACTTGCGGCCCCAGGTTTTAAAATGAAGTGTGCACATGTTACGAGAGCCAGATTTTGGTTCATGCTCTGACTGCACTTTAGTGGTACAAAGCAGCCCTAAAGCTAGTGGAGCCAACCTCTTAAAGATTCCTCCTTACACATGTGAATCTTTGAGTGGTGTAGATTATACTGGAATTGGAAAAGGTTCAGAAAAGGGCAACAAAAATTATTAGGAGTATGGAATGGCTGCCATATGAGGAGAGATTAATAAGAGTGGGATTTTTCAGCTTGGAAAAGAGACAACTATGTGGGATATGATAGAGGTCTATAAAATAATGACTGTGGAGAAAGTAAATAAGGAAGTTTTGTTTACTCCTTCTCATAACACAAGAACTACAGGTCACCAAATGAAATTAATAGGCAGTAGATTTAAAACAAACAAAAGAACATATTTTTTTCACACAATGCACAGGCAACCTGTGGAACTCCTTGCTAGAGGATGTTGTGAAGGCCAAGACTATAACGGAGTTAAAAAAAAACTAAAGTTCATGGAGGATCGGTCCATCAGTGGCTATTAGCCAGGATGGGCAGGGATGGAGTCCCTAGCCTCTGTTGGATCACTTGATGATTATCTGCCCTGTTCATTCCCCCTGGGGCACCTGGCATTGGCCACTGTTGGAAGACAGCATACTGGGCTAGATGGACCTTTGGTCTGACCCAGTATGGCCATTATGTTCTTATGCTAGAACCACTGTTCTAGCTCCTACCCCGCTCCTCCCTCCTGTATGCCAGCACAGAGGATGTTCCTGGGGAAAAAGAGGCATGGTCTGGGAGTCCTCTGGCCAGTGCTCCCCAGCTGTCAGAATGGGATCAGATGGAAATGGCAGTTTCTTATATCCACTTCACACAAATGCAAATTATTGCACAGGATGCAGTACTGGAATTGGGCCCAGGACTATACTGGAAGTCAAACATACCAAGAAGGTGACCATGTATAAGCTGGTTCCTCTACAGCATGCTTTTCTGTTTCTCCCTCACCCCCCTCCTTACTTGGTTTACAAGTTCAGCAACTATCCTCTCAGACAGTTAAGTTTCCCCTCTTTCCATCCCTCAGTTGCTTGACTTTGCTGAAGAGTGCTGCTTGATTTTATTTAATTTTCCTTTACACCTCCTGTGTAATGGTAGGTTTATTTTCATAGCCTAAAACACAGGCACAGCCAAGTCTTTTCTTATGGTGGATGATGGATAATTTAAGGAATTACAAGCTCTATGGAGCCTTAGTTTTTTTAAATTTTAATTTTAGTTACAAAGTTTCTTTCTTCATATGGAATTTGACACAACAATAACTACTACACTGAGGAGAGATTACACATTCTAGGGCTGAGTTTCCCCTCTCTGTACCAACATGAACTCACACTTCCATTAAATAGCTCCTACTAACATGGGCATACATGTCTAATTCCTTGGCACAGGCACATCCTAAACTCTTCCTACCAATGTACCATTTACTTAAATTGCAGGTCAGATAAAGAAAATCCTAACACTTATCTTCAAAGAGTTAACCTTCTAAACTGAATCCGTTCTAAAGTTTATTAGATTGTAGTTGGAAGAAAATCTGTAATAGTTTGCCATGTTAGAACTGGAGGAGAAACGTGTTTATACAAATAAATAGTATGAGTAAAAACCTGTTATTCCATGTAGAGATACATTCATTAATATTTTCCAAGTGAGTGAAATTGTTTACTGTGTAATCTCTAGTTTCACTAACAAGTACTTTAAAAAAAAAAAAAATCTTAGCACCAATAGAAATCTGGCTTGCACAAGGAAAAAAATTCTGTGCTGGTATGTGGGTTAAAGGGACAAGGTTGTCATTGCTGTACATGAAAGACCTCCTAATTAACATCTATCACATCTGGAAGTACAATATTCTTTAAAACCAATACTAAATTAAAAATAACCATAGCTGGGTGAAAATCTTTGAAATTTGCAGTTACAGGAGATGGCCTATAGGTACCAATGGGACCTATAGTAAATGAGGAGCTTTTCCTCTTCACTTGCTCATAGGTATAACTTGGAACCCCAAGAATCCAATCTTGGGGTATGTCTACACTACGGAATAAGGTCGAATTTATAGAAGTTGTTTTTTTAGAAATCGGTTTTATATATTCGAGTGTGTGTGTCCCTACAGAAAATGCTCTAAGTGCATTAACTCGGCGGAGCGCTTCCACAGTACCGAGGCTAGAGTCGACTTCCGGAGCGTTGCACTGTGGGTAGCTATCCCACAGTTCCCGCAGTCTCCGCTGCCCGTTGGAATTCTGGGTTGAGATCCCAATGCCTGATGGGGCTAAAACATTGTTGCGGGTGGTTCTGGGTACATATCGTCAGGCCCCCGTTCCCTCCCTCCCTCCGTGAAAGCAAGGGCAGACAATCATTTCGCGCCTTTTTTCCTGAGTTACCTGTGCAGACGCCATACCACGGCAAGCATGGAGCCCGCTCAGGTAACCGTCACCCTATGTCTCCTGGGTGCTGGCAGATGCGGTACGGCATTGCTACACAGTAGCAGCAACCCCTTGCCTTGTGGCAGCAGATGGTACAGTACGACTGGTAGCCGTCATCGTCATGTCCGAGGTGCTCCTGGCCACGTCGGCTGGGAGCGCCTGGGCAGACATGGGCGCAGGGACTAAATTTGGAGTGACTTGACCAGGTCATTCTCTTTAGTCCTGCAGTCAGTCCTATTGAACCGTCTTATGGTGAGCGGGCAGGCGATACGGACTGCTAGTAGTCGTATTGTACCATCTTCTGCCAGGCAGGCAAGAGATGAGGATGGCTAGAGTCGACTGTACCATCTTCTGCCGAGCAGCCATGAGATGTGGATGGCATGCAGTCCTTCTGCACCGTCTGCTGCCAGCCAAAGATGTAAAAGATAGATGGAGTGGGTCAAAACAAGAAATAGACCAGATTTGTTTTGTACTCATTTGCCTCCTCCCCTGTCTAGGGGACTCATTCCTCTAGGTCACACTGCAGTCACTCACAGAGAAGGTGCAGCGAGGTAAATCTAGCCATGTATCAATCAGAGGCCAGGCTAACCTCCTTGTTCCAATAAGAACGGTAACTTAGGTGCACCATTTCTTATTGGAACTCTCCGTGAAGTCCTGCCTGAAATACTCCTTGATGTACAGGCACCCCCTTTGTTGATTTTTAGCTCCCTGAAGCCAACCCTGTAAGCCATGTCGTCAGTCGCCCCTCCCTCCGTCAGAGCAACGGCAGACAATCGTTCTGCGCCTTTTTTCTGTGCGGACGCCATACCAAGGCAAGCATGGAGGCCGCTCAGCTCACTTTGGCAATTTGGAGCACATTAAACACCACACGCATTATCCAGCAGTATATGCAGCACCAGAACCTGGCAAAGCGATACCGGGCGAGGAGGCGACGTCAGCGCGGTCACGTGAGTGATCAGGACATGGACACAGATTTCTCTGAAAGCATGGGCCCTGCCAATGCATGCATCATGGTGCTAATGGGGCAGGTTCATGCTGTGGAACGCCGATTCTGGGCTCGGGAAACAAGCACAGACTGGTGGGACCGCATAGTGTTACAGGTCTGGGACGATTCCCAGTGGCTGCGAAACTTTCGCATGCATAAGGGCACTTTCATGGAACTTTGTGACTTGCTTTCCCCTGCCCTGAGGCGCATGAATACCAAGATGAGAGCAGCCCTCACAGTTGAGAAGCGAGTGGCGATAGCCCTGTGGAAGCTTGCAACGCCAGACAGCTACCGGTCACTTGGGAATCAATTTGGAGTGGGCAAATCTACTGTGGGGGCTGCTGTGATGCAAGTAGCCCACGCAATCAAAGATCTGCTGTAGTGACCCTGGGAAATGTGCAGGTCATAGTGGATGGCTTTGCTGCAATGGGATTCCCTAACTGTGGTGGGGCTATAGATGGAACCCATATCCCTATCTTGGCACCGGAGCACCAAGCCGCCGAGTACATAAACCGCAAGGGGTACTTTTCGATAGTGCTGCAAGCTCTGGTGGATCACAAGGGACGTTTCACCAACATCAACGTGGGATGGCCGGGAAAGGTGCATGATGCTCGCATCTTCAGGAACTCTGGTCTGTTTCAAAAGCTGCAGGAAGGGACTTTATTCCCAGACCAGATAATAGTGTTGGGGATGTTGAAATGCCTATATGTATCCTTGGGGACCCAGCCTACCCCTTAATGCCATGGCTCATGAAGCCGTACACAGGCAGCCTGGACAGTAGTCAGGAGCTGTTCAACTACAGGCTGAGCAAGTGCAGAATGGTGGTAGAATGTGCATTTGGATGTTTAAAGGGCGCTGGCGCAGTTTACTGACTCGCTTAGACCTCAGCGAAACCAATATTCCCACTGTTATTACTGCTTGCTGTGTGCTCCACAATATCTGTGAGAGTAAGGGGGAGACGTTTATGGCGGGGTGGGAGGTTGAGGCAAAACGCCTGGCTGCTGGTTACGCGCAGCCAGACACCAGGGCGGTTAGAAGAGCACAGGAGGGCGCGGTACGCATCAGAGAAGCTTTGAAAACCAGTTTTATGACTGGCCAGGCTACGGTGTGAAAGTTCTGTTTGTTTCTCCTTGATGAACCCCCCCCTCCCCTTGGTTCACTCTACTTCCCTGTAACCTAACCACCCGCCCCTCCTCCCTTCAATCACCGCTTGCAGAGGCAATAAAGTCATTGTTGCTTCACATTCATGCATTCTTTATTAATTCATCACACAAATAGGGGGATGACTACCAAGGTAGCCCAGGAGGGGTGGTGGAGGAGGGAAGGAAAATGCCACACAGCACTTTAAAAGTTTACAACTTTAAAATTTATTGAATGACAGCCTTCTTTTTTTTGGGCAAACCTCTGTGGTGGAGTGGCTGGTTGGCCGGAGGCCTCCCCACCGCATTCTTGGGCATCTGGGTGTGGAGGCTATGGAACTTGGGGAGGAGGGCGGTTGGTTACAGAGGGGCAGCAGTGGCAGTCTGTGCTCGAGCTGCCTTTGCTGCAGCTCAACCATACACTGGAGCATACTGGTTTGGTCCTGCAGCAGCCTTAGCATTGAATCCTGCCTCCTCTCATCACGCTGCTGCCACATTTGAGCTTCAGCCCTCTCTTCAGCCCACCACCTCTCCTCCCGGTCATTTTGTGCTTTCCTGCACTCTGACATTATTTGCCTCCATGCATTTGTCTGTGCTCTGTCAGTGTGGGAGGACAGCATGAGCTCGGAGAACATTTCATCGTGAGTGTGTTTTTTTTTCTTTCTAAGCTTCACTAGCCTCTGGGAAGGAGAAGATCCTGTGATCATTGAAACACATGCAGCTGGTGGAGAAAAAAAAAGGGACAGCGGTATTTAAAAAGACACATTTTATAAAACAGTGGCTACACTCTTTCAGGGTAAACCTTGCTGTTAACATTACATACATAGCACATGTGCTTTCCTTACAAGGTCGCATTTTGCCTCCTCCCACCGCGTGACTATCCCCTCAACCTTCCCCCCTCCCTGTGGCTAACAGCGGGGAACATTTCTGTTTAGCCACAGGCAAACAGCCCAGCAGGAATGGGCTCCTCTGAGTGTCCCCTGAAGAAAAGCACTCTATTTCAACCAGGCGACCATGAATTATATCTCACTCTCCTGAGGATAACACAGAGAGATAAAGAACGGATGTTGTTTGAATGCCAGCAAACATACACTGCAATGCTTTGTTCTACAATGGTTCCCGAGTACGTGTTACTGGCCTGGAGTGGTAAAGTGTCCTACCATGAAGGACGCAATAAGGCTGCCCTCCCCAGAAACCTTTTGCAAAGGCTTTAGGACCACATCTAGGAGAACCGCAAATGCCAGGGCAAAGTAATCCTTTCACATGCTTGCTTTTAAACCATGTATAGTATTTTAAAAGGTACACTCACCAGAGGTCCCTTCTCCGCCTGCTGGGTCCAGGAGGCAGCCTTGGGTGGGTTCGGGGGGTACTGGCTCCAGGTCCAGGGTGAGAAACAGTTCCTGGCTGTCGGGAAAACCGGTTTCTCCGCTTGCTTGCTGTGAGCTATCTACAACCTCCTCCTCCTCATCATCTTCTTCGTCCCCAAAACCTGCTTCTGTATTGCCTCCATCTCCATTGAAGGAGTCAAACAACACTGCTGGGGTAGTGGTGGCTGAACCCCCTAAAATGGCATGCAGCTCATCATAGAAGCGGCATGTTTGGGGCTCTGACCCGGAGCGGCCGTTCGCCTCTCTGGTTTTCTGGTAGGCTTGCCTCAGCTCCTTCAGTTTCATGCGGCACTGCTTCGGGTCCCTGTTATGGCCTCTGTCCTTCATGCCCTGGGAGATTTTGACAAAGGTTTTGGCATTTCGAAAACTGGAACGGAGTTCTGATAGCACGGATTCCTCTCCCCAAACAGCGATCAGATCCCGTACCTCCCGTTTGGTCCATGCTGGAGCTCTTTTGCGATTCTGGGACTCCATCATGGTCACCTGTGCTGATGAGCTCTGCATGGTCACCTGCAGCTTGCCACGCTGGCCAAACAGGAAATGAGATTCAAAAGTTCGCGGTTCTTTTCCTGTCTACCTGGCCAGTGCATCTGAGTTGAGACCGCTGTCCAGAGCGGTCATAATGGAGCACTCTGGGATAGCTCCCGGAGGCCAATACCATCAAATTGTGTCCACAGTACCCCAAATTTGAGCCGGCAACGTCGATTTAAGCGCTAATCCACTTGTCAGGGGTGGAGTAAGGAAATCGATTTTAAGAGCCCTTTAAGTCGAAATAAAGGGCTTCATTGTGTGGACGGGTGCAGGTTTACATCGATTTAACGCTGCTAAATTCGACCTAAAGTCCTAGTGTAGACCAGGGCTTGGGGACTCACTGTCTGTCCTGGCATCTGAGGCTGCTGAAAGCAATTTGGTCTGAGTAGTAGTAGGAACCCCTGTGACTGAGATGTGTACAGGCAGGACTCATCATTGATCTCCATCCCGTGAAGCTGTTGTCATGCTGTTCTGCACTAAATATTTGAAGATTTCAGTAGTGGCAGATGACATAACAAGAAGCAATGGTCTCAAGTTACAGTGGGGGAGGTCTAGGTTGGATATTAGGAAACACTATTTCACTGGGAGGGTGGTGAAGCACTGGAATAGGTTACCTAGGGAGGTGGTGGAATTTCCATCCTTAAAGGTTTTTAAGGCCTGTCTTGACAAAGCCTTGGCTGGGATGACTTAGTTGGTGTTGGTCCTGCTTTGAGCAGGGGGTTGGACTAGATGACCTCCTGAGGTCTCTTCCAACCCTAATATTCTATTTGTTTTTTCTTGGTGTCTTTTCTCTAGCATTGACTCTTGTGAACAAACCTTTTCTTCGCTCCAGCCTCTTGACTTGCTGCCTTCTTCTCACACATCTGCAACAACTTTTGCAATGAGAGCTTTCCTGTGCCCTATTCTGCATGCAGTGCTTTAGCAACCTGCAGACGTGTGAAAGGCCACCTGTTACAAGAATGCATCAGTCACCAGATCTCCCTTCTCCACTCAAGGGAGCCTGAAATGTGCAACTTTTGCTAGAGCTCCTAATCAATTGTTGTCTATGCAGCTTTGTTGTTCCAAGCTCCTCTCTCAGCCTCTTTATCTCCTCAATAGAAGTGTACTTTAGTAAATGCAGCAGAGAGCTAGAGAGTGGCATCTGTATTAATGTACTAATATAGATACTTTAATGAAAAAAGTTAGTCATAAAACTAATAAGTGTTCTTGCTGTCAGGCTCCATTGAAAGCCTCTTTGTTGAAAGGGTTAAGTGCTTTGACAAATCTCATAATGGAGTATGGTATCGGGTCAGCTACTGCCTCCCAATTCTCCTGTAGGGTCTGAAATTACTTTTACAGACCAGCACTGTAGTGCAAGCCTCTCTCTGTAGATACAGGTTCTGAGACTCACTGCTGCTAGGATTTTTTTGCGGGGCCATGTAGACATACTGTCAGCATCCAGGGTCATTAGCCATACCTTTCTTCTAATTAGACTGTTGTGAAGTAGAGATCTAGATGAAAACTTAGCCAGTATCTATAGGTCTCATTTTTAAGTACTGAATACTTCAAACCCCAACATTTTTTTAAATTTAGATTTCTTGTAGGGATTTAACCCAGGAGAAAGTGCCAGTGGATAATGGAATGACCTCTTTTACCTAGCAACAGATGCCCCATCAGTACAAGAGTTCCACAAGTCAGAATATCATTTAAACAACATCAAGGCTGAGAAAAACCTGAAAGTTCATTATATAGGCTTTGCATACTCTTTAAGCTTTAGACATGGGGAGAACTGTCTAGGACAGAAGGGAAAGGCAAGTAAGTTTTAATGCTGATAGGATCAGCATTCATTTCCCTGCTGGAAATTCAAATGTTAAAATGGAGAACAGTGGACAGACATCTTTGAGCTAACACTCTTTGCCACAGTATGGAGAGCGATCCCTGTAAAAGAAGGGAGCTTCACAGACTCTGAAGAAGAGGGAAAGAATGGGTGGACAGCATTTCCTCATTCTGTGCAACTCCACTTGCTATGAAGGTATGTCATGGTCCTATGTTAGACAAGGTAATAACACAAGAACAGGAATGAATGCATCACTTTTGTCCAGTAGTGCTGCAACAGTTTTTATAGTGGGGGTGCTGAAGGTGGAAACCATGTATTTGGGTTGTTGTTACCTTTACGGTAAGGAGTGCGACCACACCCCTAGTTCCAGCACCTATGCTTTCATCTGCAAGTTTAGTAGAGGTTTGGCAAGTATCTTGCAGTTTAAAGTTTTGAGGGTTGTTGGGTGTTTATATATAAAATGTGAGTGATTACAACATAGCAGGGCCTTGAGAATTGGTGAGTATCACAGTTACAGGGCTTGTTGCACCTCTGTCACTTTTCTGGTCTCTGTGTACACTCAGATCTTGGGTAAAGGCAGGAGACCTATCTCAGGGGAGTTTTACAGACTGTTTTCAACAGTCAAGATGCCTTTCCTTTTTATCCCTCTGTATGTTTCTCTCTCTCAGTACAAAACTCTTTTCCTAATTGCACCTTATGGTGAAATGGGACAACCCTTGCAGATTATCTCCTTGTGGTTCCCTGGCTCTGTTCTTTCCCCACCTGGCACCCAGCAGAAGAGCTGGGAATGGGAGTGGTTGGTACTCTATCTATTATTCTTTGCAGATGTAATGGCCCATAGAGGATTGTTACAGCCCTGAGACTGCTTAGTTGCACCAGGACCAGAATTTACAAGACAGCTTAAAGTCATCTTCGCTTCCCTCCCGCTCATCATTTCCTGAACCCAAAGTAGGAAGGTAGAACAGAGAATCCAGTCTCTTGGGGTTTTTAATGCAGATGTTAAGTAAGATTTTATATTACTACAGTCATGTAGTTCCTTCCACACTCATTTAATATCCTGTTGATTATAGATGACAGTCTCATTTATCAGTGACCTATCAGCTTACTTAGAATAAAAAGGACATTATGAAAGAAAGAATGGCTGAGGAAGATTCCAGCTGTATGGGTATCTAGCAATAATAAAGCAGATCTGGACTTGATAGCTAATTACTACAAAAATGTAGCAAACATTCATAAAGGAGAAACCTGTTTCCAGAATTTCAGTTGCACTAAATACCAGTAAATGTCATATGATTAAAGGAACTTGGCCAAAGGCTCTCAAGAGACATCCAGCTATTTGGTATTCATACATGCTTTCTTGTGTATTATTACTTTACAAAATTTAATATATTAAGGCCAGAATGGACCATTATGATAATCTGTTCTGCCCTCCTGTATAACACAGGCCATAGAACTTTCCCCACATAATTCCTAGAGCATATTTTTTCAGGAAAAAAAAATCCCTTTTTGATTTAAAAATTGTCAGTGATGGAGAATCCATCACAACCCTTGCTAAATTATTCTAATGGTTAATTACTCTTGGTGTTAAAAATTTACACCTTATTTCCATTCACCTCTCTCTGTTTTTAGGCTGCATTTAAAACAGAACTTGTAACTTTATATTTATATTTAAAAATAAAGTTACGAGTTCAAATCCATGTTTCTCTCAAATCACTGTTCAGGGAAATAAATAGCAAATAAATTGAATGGACCATTTTGGATTTAAAATATTCTAATGTTTGATCAGTTCACAAATACCATCTTTATAACCCTCAGGGAACCATTAATCACAGTTGTAATTAACCAAAGCTAATCTTTGATTATATCTGAATATCAGAATCATGAATACTTTACTTTACTGTTTATAGAACCCTCTGAGGATCTTTAAGCCTTTAAAAATGTTTCTATTGTTACCTAGTTTATTCAGAACTTTAAAGCAGTTCCATATGAATCTGAACTATGTGACAATACAGTCCTATCACCATTGCACTTTTCCTCCTTCTCTCCTATTGTTTGTGTGTGTTTGTTTCACTCATTTGTTGCATTTTTGCCTTGAATTATATTTTAGGCTTTCTGCCACAGGGACTACATCTATTTATGTGTCTTTATTAGATCGAGACTGTGGCATCTAGATGCTGCCCATAATACCTGTAATTAATAACTTTAGGAATGTTAATCTATTCAGCCTCTCACAATACCCTATGAGATGGAGTAATATTACCACATTTTATAGGTGAATAAATAGAGGTATAGACTGGTACAGAATACCTTGCCCTATGGTCAGAAGTCAATGGCTGGACCAGGAACAGAACCCAGAACGCTCAACTTCTAGTTCTGTACTTTTACCTCTAGAGTATACTCCCTTTCTAAAAATTTAATTTGAACAGAATATCATAAGAACCAGGTACTCATGTACTAACAGGAAAAATATGGTCTAATTGTAGTTCTGTATCTTTGATCTATAATCATTTTTCTCTTAATATGATACAAAATCTTTAGAAGGAATACAGATACTAAGAGTAATTTTACAGAATGCTGGGAGATAATTTTCCAAACCATGGGCCCATTTCTACAAGCCTTTCTCAGCAGAAGAGTCCTACTGAAGCCAGGCTCGGGACTGAGTTTTAAGTTACTATTGAAAAATATCATTAGATTTAAGAGCACAGTTAGAGAATAAAATCTTTTAAGGCAATAGCTTTATACATTAAGAATATACTCAGCAGACAGTAACATCTGATGGTGTAGCACACAATTTAAAACATTAATGGATATAGTGTGGATATGCATGATTTCTATAAAGCTACCTTGTAAATACAAAAATGTAAATCTCATGTGATCTGTCCTTCATTTTAAGATTCACAGACATAATTTTTTTTTTTTTAGCAAGTACAAGGGATGATAATTATTAGCATCACTAATAGGGTCAGGAGTTAACATTAATCAATTGGTAATTTACAATGTTTTTGACATGGCATGAAAGCAAAAGTAAACAACTTGCATTAACACTTCTTTAGTTGTACGAACAGAAGACTTCCTGATATTTCAATTGGAAACATTGGGATGAAATTGAAGAGGCCAGATAGACTGATTTATAGCATTTGAGGATCCAGACTGACTTCAGTCTAGATTTTTGGAACTATGCTGGTTTACACCAGTTGAAGATTAGTCCCAAGGGTTTGTGTATGTTTATATGCGGTGGAATTCTGGAA